TCTCTTATCTGCAGGTGAACACAGCCATGCATGAAGCCAAGCTGGTAGAGGAGTGTGATGAATTGGTGGAGATAATTCGCCAGAGGAAACAGGTCATTGCTGTCAAGATCAAAGAGTCCAAGGTACAGTTTCTCTCTATTAAGTCAGACTCGTATCAAGCACTTGAGACACATTTAGGAAGGTTTTCGATTTGCTTTTCAATTTATAAATTCTTTAAAGTTACGAGCTTCTTTCATTTTCACCTAAAAAATGTCATCATTTACTCACCCTCATGTCGTCCAAGAAAGTGTGTGTGTGTGTGTGTGTGTGTGTGTGTTGTCCATACAATGAATATCAGTGGGGCTCAGTGTTGTTTTGGTTTGGACCCCACTGACTTTCATTATACAGACAAAAAGAGTTGAAACAATTGTCCAAACATCTTATTTTGTGTTCTACAGAAGAACAAAAGCTATACAGGTTTGGAACAACATAATAATGACTTTCATTTTTGGTGAACTGTTCCTTTAAGACGCACATATGACAGAGAAACCGTTTTTTTCAGAGCTCAGTCCTTCACTCACTTAGAGAAAGCTGTTTGAATTTGATTCTTGACAGTATGTCACATAGTGCACAAATACGGAGCTGGCATTTCTAACACATCTTTCAGATCATGTCACTAACCCTGTTATAGCAAGAGAGAGACTGTCAGGCTCTGTTGGACCCTACGCTGTGCAGAGAGATATGTCGCCTGATGACAAGCTGGAGAAAAAGCTGGGAAAATCACAGCATATTTTCCCTTTGTGAATTAAAAACTCCTCTATTTAATCTGCTCTGAGTGAACGCTGAGGTTAAGCTGGTGCATATGAGTAATAATGTGGCTGTGAGGACGTCAAATGGGGCTTTGGAGTTCTTGTCAGATAGTTCACAGGCCAAAGTGTGGTGGTTGTCGGGTGAGGGTGCAGTGAAGTTTAGAGATATTGCTTGAACAAGATTGTTGAATGTATGACAGGAAGCTTGGCTGGTTGACGCGGACTTGGCCATGTGGCTTCACTTAACAAGCTTCCCTTGTGTAACAGTAACAAGGCCTTGATAATCTTCAGCAGCACAAACACAGCACAATGAACAGCACTCTTCTCCTCTGGGATAGGATATAAAGAATAGACACTCACAAATACGATTAATACTAAAAATCACTTTTGAGTGCAAAATAAAAATAAATGGAAATGTTGAAATTTTCATTTGCATTATAAAGACAAGGGGGCTTTTTAGTTTTGTGTTGCACTTGTAATTTAAAGCAAAACTAAACAGCAAGAGATGTGTGTAATAGTGATTTTATTGTGAATAAGGGATGTTTTAGCCAAAATTCAAAGCTTTTAAAGGGATAGTTCACCCAAACATTCTGTCATTAATTACTCACCCTCATGTCGTTTCAAACCCGTGAGACCTTCGGTCATCTTCGGAACACAAATTAAGATATTTTTGATGGAATCTGAGAGCTGTCTGACCCTGCATAGACAGCAACATAACTGAAATGTTCCCAAGTCCAGAAACGTAGCAAGTAGATCGGTAAAATAATCCATGTGACATCAGGAGTTCAACCGTAATTTTACGAAGCTACGAGAATACTTTTTGTGCGCAAAAGACAAAAAAATAACAACTTTATTCAACAATTCGTCTCCTTGTAGTTGTTTTTAACATACAATAATAAATGTTTCTTGAGCAGCAAATCAGCATATTAGAACGATCATGTGACACTGAAGACTGCAGTAATGATGTTGAAAATTCAGCTTTGCATCACAGAATAGATTACTTTACATATATTAGATAAATTAAAACTACTGTACTTTTATTCAAATCAATGTAGTCTGACCTGAGTGAGCATAGGAGAACTTTTGAATGGCAGCATATTTTTTCTAAATTATTAATTGTGGTTCATTTTTACAAATGGGTAATAAATGTAACAATTTTCAATATAACTTTAACTTACTGTTACCAAGCAAGGCAGCTTTTTGCAACAGTTTTGAACACTGATAATCCGATCAGACTGTAGAATCAGAGCTGTCGATTTTACACGGAACGATCATATATTGTTCCATATTTTATATTTTGACACTCTTCAAACATTACCAGAACTGAAGAGTCAGCTTTTCTGCTCCAGTTCATCTGTGCGCAGTGTGTGTAGCGTTTTGTGTTTGACAGTGAGTGTGCAGCGCACAGGCACTTTAACTTGACAGCCTGAACTCACACTCTTATCAAGTGGGGATTTGAGCCACGAGACAGGCCTGTGCTTCTCTGTTTTTGGGTAATGTGATGTGAGAGACCCGGACAAATGCAGTAATCTCCATCAGAAGTGTCTACGTAAGGCCTCTCACATGGCAGCCCCGAGTCGACATGTACAGCCTGCATCATGAGATTATGTCTGGCCTTTTGCAAACATCAGTAATGCAGCTCCAGCACAAAGTGCCTGTATCTCTAGCATTAAGGAGGCTTTTGGAATCATAAACCCAGATGCAAAGTGTCTGTAAGATTTGATCTGAGGCTTTGGCTGTTCAGGCTTGTTTGTTACTGGATTGTTTTTGAATGATTTTCTTTTTTTTTTTTTTTCTGATGCAGTCCAGTTTCTTTAATGCTGTCCTGAAATTCTGAAACTTTTTGGCAGTGCATCATCTCATCAAAGCAAATCATTTGAAGCTGTCTTTAAGAAATGGGGTCAGATTAGGATTTGATCTAATGCAATCCACTTCGGCACCGAGCAACATTTTTCTCTCCTTGTTTCTTGATTTATCTGAATGCTTCCAATCATTCCTTCCTGTCAGTCGTCCCATTCCTCTATTGAATTACACTGTGGCATAGGCTAGATCCTGCTTAACCGACTTACTGGCTTATTGAGGAAGCATAGCTAATGTCTCTCATTCCCTCGCGAAAGAAAAATAATGCATACGCACATGAAACATGGGGTTATTTGAAGGAAAGCTCAATTCATAGTAAATCTGTGGTCAGGTATTGTGGGCAAAATTGTATTTCATGCTATGAGTGCATTATATTATGGTAACGGTATATATAAGATTGCTGGAAATTCTTTTATTTTTTATGTAAATTCAGACCAATATGTTTTATATTTAAGCATGGAATGTAGTAATGCCTATTTTTGTATAATCTATAGAATTATAATATACTTTGCAAATCAAATGCATATCATCTCATTTGAATAATTTCCTTTTGTAATGAATCCCGATGGAGACAAACCAAAAGATATTATTCATATACACTGCCACTAAAAAGTTTGGCCTCAGTTTTTTAAAGAAATTAATACTTTTATTTAGCAAGAAAGTATTACTTCAATATTAATTAATATTTAATGTTAATAGAATGTTAATAGAAAAAAATATTTCAAATAAATGCTGTTCTTTTAAACTTTCTATTCATCAAAGAATCCTAAAAAAATGTATCAGGGTTATGTATCAGAGCACAACTGTTTTCAACATTGAGAATAATAAGAAATGTTTCTTGAGCAGCAAACCGTTTCAAATAAATGAATAATTGGTGAACAAATGAGACTTATTTCAAAAATCATTAAAAAATCTTACTGACCCCAAACTTTTGAACTTTAGTATAAAAGTATAAGACTTTGTCAACACAGTTAAACTAGTAAATTCTGAGTGGATAAGTCATATTTTGGGATGTTGTAAAGTAGCTGAAACAAGCTCACCTGTGACCACACATCAGTTAAATTCTATATGAACGCAGAAAGTTGATTTTTATGCAAGGAGGAAATCTGAAAAGCTATCCAGCCAGACACAAGAAATATGAGAAATATGAAACATTTAAAGGTATTCCAGCTTTAAATGAGATTCTTTGCACAGCAGTCTGGATTGGGCCATACTCTTTTCTTGTTAAACTCTCTGAGACTTTGTATAATTGATTTGGCTCACATTTTTTTTACAGACATCTAATACAGAATGAAATATGCATTTGTTTTTCCATTCAGGCAAAGTCTTTAGCAGTTCATGCTAATTCAGCATTTATATGAGTCCTTAAAAGTAACTGAAAATCAGAATCCGTCACTTTATTGTTTCTCAGCTGTAATTACACAAAACGCAAACAAAGCAAAGGGCTCATTTGGCTGTGATGATGAGCCAAGGGGTGATAATGAGTTTTTGATCAAATGCTCCATTAGGGTCCATTATTTTTCATAACATCTTGGGGAATGTAAACATTTATAATATTAATAGCTTAGAAAGTTGTAATAACAGCTCCATGCATTATCTCTCATAAGAATGTGGATATATTGTAAAAAGCATGTGTGTGGGTTTAGGTGATGAAGTTGAGGAAGCTGGCCCAGCAGATTGCGAACTGCAGACAGTGTCTAGAGCGCTCGAGTGCCCTCATCACACAGGCTGAGCACAGTCTGAAGGAGAACGACCACACCCGCTTCCTCCAGACGGCCAGGAATGTGGCAGAGAGGTGAGACCGCACACACACACACCGTCACTGCCTCTGCCAGCGTGAATTCAACTTTCAGCTACTCTGCACATTTCCTGGTGCCGCCTCCTCCTTTCAGTTCTGCTGCTTGTGGCTTCAGGACTCAATATTTAACAGTATTTGTGCAGCTTTGGGTGTGGAGAGAGACTTTGTGTTGTCATGCGTTTTTGACGAGCAATTAATGTAAACACAGGCGGTTTGTTTTGTGGAAATGTAAACAGGTACAGAAACAGGAGGGATCTGTGTAGCGTTTTCATATCTGTGCATTAGGCAGTGTAAATGCAGTCTAATGGACCGGATGCTGGCTAAATAATATTGTGCAATAATAACAATTTTGACGAGAAACTCACTGATCCTAATGTCTATTTTTTGTTCTTTATTACTGACAGTTTAATTGAAAACTCAAAAACAATGATACTTAATGAAATAAAAATTGAATAATTATATGTATGAATATTTTTAAATAAAAATACAACTTTTCACTGTTCTTAATGTTTTTGGGGTTTTTTTGGTCCTTTATTACTGACTATTTACTTAAAATCATGTACCTAAAAACAATGTTTCCTGAATTAAACAAAAATTTAATAATTATATGTATAAATATTTTATAGATTTATTTATGAAAAAGAGAAAACTGCTCACTGATCTTAATGATTTTTATTCCTTATTACTGACTGTCTACTAAAAACCTGCCTTAAAACAGTGTTTTCTAAATTAACTAACAATTGAATAATTATATGTAATATTATATGTATAAATATTTTATATGTAATATTATATGTATAAATTTAGTTTTTATAGAAAAGAGAAAACTGCTTACTGTTCTTAATGTTTTTTCCTACTTACTGATCGTTTACTTGAAAATGTGTACCTAGAAACAATGTTTCCTTAAAATAAAAACTAATTATTTAAAGTATTATATATATAAATATTTGATAGATTTTAATAAATATAATATTGAATAATATAGCAATAGTTAAAGGATACATGCCATTATTTTCTAATATCGTTATTGTAAATATATATTTATTTTTTATACAGTGTCATGTCATCAGAATTGTTATCAAGAGCTGTACAATTTCAGTGGTTTTGGTAGACTGTACAGTCTTCTGTATTATTTGAATTTCATGTGCCACACACATTTCTCTGAGTTTGAGCGCTGCCAGATGCTGTTTATAATTTCTGTCACTGTGGGTGAAATCACATACAGCCTTATAGCCTGTAAATAGACTGTTGTAAATAGAAACATTTATAAATTAATTGCCAGTGCCTCTCTTTCCTCCCAGAGTTGCCATGGCCACCGCCTCCTCCCAGGTCCTCATCCCAGACGTCAATCTGAACGAGGCTTTTGACAATTTTGCCCTTGATTTCTCCAGAGAAAAGAAAATTCTGGAAGGACTGGATTACTTGACAGGTAAAACCAGTGAGAAAACTGAAACCACCTTCTACAGGTGCCTTCTGTGTATGAAGTGCAAAGTTAATGAATGCATGCTGTATCCGGGATATGGCCAGAATTACATCAGCACAAGTGAATCAATCAGAATCAGAATCAGAAAGAGCTTTATTGCCAAGTATGTTTGCACATACAAGGAATTTGTTATAGTGTCACAAGCTTCCAGTACACGGAGACAACAATAACACACAGATAATAAAAATGAGATGTGAATAAACTACACATGCATAAATATAAACCACAAAAAAAAGAATAAAATGTATGTACAGGTGTGCTATAGATGGAGTAGGAATAGAATAAAATAAAATAAGTTGTAGGGATGTACTAGGGTTTAGGGTGATAAATAAGTATAAGGTTGTTGCACATACTGTACGTTAATTGCACAATGGGAGAACATTAACTGTTCATGAGGTAGATTGCCAGAAATACATCCCGTCTTGACGATTGCCTTCTTTTCCAGCGCCCAACCCTCCATCTATACGTGAAGAGCTCTGCACGGCCTCGCATGACACCATTACAGTGCACTGGACCTCTGAAGATGAATTCAGCGTCACCTCCTATGCCCATCAATTAAAAAAAAAATCATCTTAGGCTTTATATAGGAATAAAACAAATAGGACTCATGGATGTGACTGTGACTTTTTTCAATTCATTTTAATTTAATCCATTTAATTTTATTTTTTATTTATTTATTTATCTTTTATTTAATTTAATTTACTTCTTTTTAATTAATAATATTTTATTCATATTTTTGTAATATAATATGCACACTTTTTACGATCTCTTATGTTCACGAAGGCTGCATTTATTTAATCAGAAATACAATAAAAACAGTAATATTGTGAAATATTATTTTAAAAATTTCTATTTAAATATATTATGTAATGTATTTTTTTCCTGTGATGACAAAGCTTAATTTTTAGCAGCCATTACTATTAGCACTGTAGAAAACAGCTGTTCTGCTTAATATTTTTGTGAAAAATCATGGATTTTTTAACATTGTCTTTACTGTCACTTTTGATCAATTTAATGCGTTCTTGCCACATAAGAAGTATTCATTTCTATTTAAGGAAAAATTTTACTGAGCACAAACTTTTCAACAGTAGTGTATATCATTTTATTTTCATTTTATTATTTACATTTAGCATTTAGTTTAATTGTTTTTGCATTACTTTTTTAAGCACCAGAATTACTGCTGTATACCCATCAAATTTTTCCAAAGGATTCATAGCATTTTTGAACACCTACCTGTCCCCCTATACCTTTTGTTTTGTTGGTGCACCTGCAAATAAAAGCCCTAAGTCTAGCTTTTACGAATCTGTGGAGTGAAAGAGCTGTTAAGGCTTAATTGCTTAAAGGCCAGGACATGCATAACTTGTTTGGGCTTGAACAGTACAGAAATAGCACTCTCTCACTCACAGACCTGCTCCTCAGTTTCTATTCAGCCCGCTTCAGTAACAAACACGGTATATTCATTTCAACCGCTGATAGTTTAGAAGCCCTGAAACATCTACAGAGCTACCACAGGCTCCTTAGAGGATACAAACAAACAGACACAGAAATGGAGAGCAATGCTTTCTTCCCAGACCTTTTTACAGCATTGCTCTTTGAATGCGGATGCCTAAACGCTGCAATTCTTAGATGCGTATGCTTCGCTCCCTTGAGATGAAATGTGAGTCTTTGCTGGTGCATTTTCTCAGCCGTTGGCCAAGTCAGGCAAAGTGGCTTCAAAAAATACTCCGGCCCCCAGTCAGGATCTATCAGCTCTAGATGGATTTCCTTCTATGAAGAAGTTCAATTTAGTTTTTCATTTAGTTTCAAGGCATTTTTAATGGAATAATGTCTGTACATTGTTTTTTTTTTTTATCTTGCGTTTTATCGTTTATCATATTTACAGGCCGGTGAAATTGATGTCTTGCTTTATGTTCCCTTTAGCAAAAATATATTAAATTTTGCAAGCCTCTCATAGTAAAAGCATAATATTCAAGGGCTCAGGCTGGATAACATGCAGGATCTTTTTCATTTATTGTGATCCGTCAGTTTGTATGCCAATATCATGCCTTAGACATATAAAATAAGAGTCATGTGCTATGTAAAAATCTATACATGCCCCCTGCAGTGCACTCAAGTCCAATATGTGTAATTGCACAGCTGCCATGACTGGAAAACCGACCTTTTGCGATCAATTAAATGTGCACAAAATTCATATGCATCAGCCGAAACGCAAGCTAATAGAATAAATTAGCTGTAAAATGGACTTTAAAGCAGAAAAGCGTTGTTCGAGGTTCTGTTGAAAGAGCAGCTCTGGTTTGTCTGCGGACTTTATCGTCAGCTCTGTGAAAGTGAGGGCACTGGCCTGGTATCAGCACTGATTAGATCTGACACGAGCTAATGCTCTTTGCTCCGCGCTCATTGTGACATTGATTGATAGTGATACAAGCCGCCGGACTGGCATGCTAACCTGCAGCAAACAGTATGCAAATGCCGCTGTCCTTGTAGTGGAAACGGGCCACATCGCCTAATCTGACGTGCGCACCTCTTGCTCAGGGACGTGTGTCGTGACTCATGGGCAGTTTATGGAAAACGAGAGAGACGTGGATGTTACGAGGGCCAGCAAACACGTGGTCGAACACAACTGTAAAGCTGACAGTTGTACAAACATGAATGAGGTCAGACCAGTCTAACAAAAGACCCTATTATGGTCATCTGACTCTGTGTGTCTGTTTTCCAACAAAACTCTTGTTCATTTGATAATGTGTGTCCCCACAAAACACTAGCTCAATGTGCTGTGCAACCTTGAAAACGCCAACAAATTTTATATATAGACAAACCCAACCATCAAACCAACATTTATATCTTTTGCTTCTGTTCACAAACAATTTCCATTAGACGTCAAGTTGTGACCCTACACAGTACCAACATTTTTGCCATAGAAATGTAAACAAAGATTTATTATAGTATTAATATTATACATGACGTGCGCACCTCTTGCTCAGGGACGTGTGTCGTGACTCATGGGCAGTTTATGGAAAACGAGAGAGACGTGGATGTTACGAGGGCCAGCAAACACGTGGTCGAACACAACTGTAAAGCTGACAGTTGTACAAACATGAATGAGGTCAGACCAGTCTAACAAAAGACCCTATTATGGTCATCTGACTCTGTGTGTCTGTTTTCCAACAAAACTCTTGTTCATTTGATAATGTGTGTCCCCACAAAACACTAGCTCAATGTGCTGTGCAACCTTGAAAACGCCAACAAATTTTATATATAGACAAACCCACGCAGAGAACGGTGAGAGTATGTTGACAGAGCTGTTAGTCAGCTATTGTATGTAATTTCAGTAAGTCAGAATTTGAAGGGATGTTTTCTTTTCTCTGTGGAACACAAAAGAAGACGGTTTGAGAAAAGTTGTAGTGTTTTTTTTCTACGTACAATTTTTCTCAGAGATAAGTATTGTTGATTTTAAAGCTCATATGAATTGGTTTTAAATGAAGAAACTGCAGTTATCTCAGACACGTATTAAAAAGGCCTCTAAAAAATCTACAGGACAAATGTTAATTTAAAAATATATATATATATATATATATTGACCCTGATAATAATTCTCTCTAAATGATGGATTGATTGCTTATACTACCAACTTTTTTTTTTTTTTTAAGAAATAAATAGTTTTATATGGCAAGGTTGCATTAAATTGATCAAAGGTAAATACATTAATAAAGACATTTCTAAAAGATTTCAAAATTATTACAAAAAATCTTAAATACTTTAACAAAATAATAAATGCTGCTATTTTCAAATTTCCATTCATCAAAGAATTCTGAAAAAAACAAATGTTTCTTGATCAGCAAATCAGCATATTAGAATGATTTCTGAAGGATCATGTGATGCTGAAGACTGGAGTAATGATGCTGAATTTCAGCTTTAAAACTTTTTTAAAAAAGATAAAATTAATTTCATTTGAAATATTTCATAACATTACTGTTTTTAATTTATTTTTGATTAAATAAATGTCAGCTTGGTGAGCATAATATATTCCTTCAAAAACATTAAAAAAATCTTACAGACCCTTGACTTTTGAGCAATAGTGTATATACAGTATAGCATAGCCTTTCATTCCATATTGCTTAAATAACATGCTTAAAGGTGAGCACATCTTTGTGGTTGATGTACACTTTCACAGACATCTGCGACATGCTTACCGGGTCAATATACCCATCCTGCTTCCATGATTTATCCTCAGCCTTGATGGTGGATATTTCTCTTCCTGTATCTGAAGTGCATCTCAAAGCACCATCATTGAGCAGATAATCACTGGTCAGCAAGGCATTGATTAAGTGTCATATTATTTTTGCATGATGGCGTTGGTCGTTGTAAGACGGTGCATCATGATGCTAGGTTTCTGTTCCTTTTTAGTGGTTTCTGCCAAAGCCAAGGTCTTTGTACCTTAAGATATTCATAAGCTGGGCTTTGGAGAGCTGCCCAAGAATGTGAATGTGAAATGAAGACACAGTCCACAGTGGCCACCGTTCAGAAGTGAGACATTATTTTTGCGGTGAATGTAACCGTATGTTTTTGCATCTCTAAGAAAATATGTTCATGTGGGATCATAACACATGCACATACTGTCCATACTCTTAACATACCAGGATTAATTCTTCTTACGACAGTACATGTCCTGTTGGCATTGATGACATCTAAACACATGCACAGTCATGGAAACACACACACACACAATAGAAGCATCAAAGGCTAGTTTGGATTTGCCGACAGTATTGGGAGCACCCCGTTCCAGTTTTGTGTTTTAGCTCCCTTTCATCTGCCAACACACACACGCACACACACACACTCACTTATGCACGGTCTAGGATCCCTATTCACCCTGCCTTCTTTTTAGCCAATGACACATACCTTCATCTGGCCCTCTTTGAAGTCTCTCTCCCTCTGAATGTCAAGCAACAGCAGAGAATTTACAATGTAAGCAGCATATTGTAGTCTGCTATGCTAATTCCATTCATCAAACAACAACATCAAAAGCCTTTTTGATATGGACGTGGATCAAATGACTTTTTTGCTCATGAAAAAATATTACAGACATGCAGTTGGTGGATGCGAATGGTTAATACTTTATAAGCTTTGCTTTCTTTTTCATCCAGTCATCAGATGTTATACTTTTTTATTTACTTGAATACTTAAAGTAATATGCAGTTACATTTATAAGAAGGCATCTTTATTTATCTTTATTCCTTAGACATGTGGTTTTGTTTTGTTTTGTTTTGAGAAGAGGAGTAGCCAGTAGGTGAGACAATGCTAATATATTAATATAACTGATATAAACAATATGAATAATGTTAATATTCAAAAAGTAAAATTTTGCATTATTGTCATCGTCATCATCATTATTCATTATTTTACTACATTGTATCTTTTGGAATTTATAATTCTAATTGCATGGAATATATCTGGAGAGCAGGATGGCCAGTTGTTGATATATTATTGTAATTGATATAGATAAAATGCACTCAAAATTATTACATTACATTTTTAAGTACTTATGAAGTGCTTTTGCCATTTGTATGGCACACATTTGACAGACCTTGAGTGGCAATGCCAGTGGTTTTAATGGCATTGCTGATGTTTCCTGAGGACATTCTGGTTCATCATGAGAAACTGGATTGAGGGGCATCTGTTTGCCTGAGGCAAACATCCCGAGTCTCTCTACGAGTGTGTGCTATATGTGTTTTCACATCAAACAGAAATAGGCATGCCTTGAATAATGAACTTCATATGTACCATTCCCTTTTTAGAATCACACTGTTCAAAAATGTATTGGTAAGTGGTTATTATTGTTCTTCTATGTTAATAATGAGTGCTAGCACAGACCTGACTAAGAGTGATTGTAAAAACATATGCTGAATCTGTGATTGATGTTATGCTCTGTCTCTCTTACCTTGCAGGTCTGTATAACTCTGTAGATAGCTGGATGATTGTGCCCAATATCAAGCAGAATCACTACACAGTCCACGGCCTGCAGAGCGGCACCCGTTACATCTTTTTCGTCAAGGCTATCAACCAGGCAGGCAGCAGAAACAGCGAACCTGCTCGACTCAAAACCAACAGTAAGTCCAGTCCTCATGAGCTGTGCTAAGGATCTATAAACCTCATGGTAGTCGTCAATCGATATGGCTTTTTCAGTAGCTGATGCCAGTATCTTGACAGCAGTATGCAGTATATTCCCAAAATGAACATTTATTTTACACAATATTTACTCAACATTCACTTCAAAAATATAGAGTGCTGCAGGGCTGATATATTTTTGTAGTTCAGCCCAGAAGTTTGCATCACCCTGGCTCCCTCAAGTAAAAGCCTTTGAATTTTTCCATTAGCCTTTGGATTTTTTTCGTACACATTTTATTCAAGATAATCCTCACAAATGAACACAGCTGTTAGGAATTTTGAAGCCTAAAATCAAAATCACCAGAATGAACCTTTGTATTATGTTTGAATAATGGGTAAGACTTCTATGTTGCAGCTCAAATTGACACTAATTTGATTCAATACAATTTACCAAAAATCACACTATGAAAACTAACAAAAATAGTTAACCTTTATCTTAATGCTTCTCACACATTACACTAAAAACAAATAATACAACATGTGATTTTCAAACTGTATTTAACACGGTTTTTTTTTTTTAATTTTCAAAAAATATGAATATTATTATAAGCAGCATTGTAGCAATTATTTTTTAAATGCCAAATGTGTAAATGTAAATACCCTCAGAGGGTAGTGGCATAACAAAATGAATACATTTTTTTATATATTTAATATAGTTGCCGCTGACCATAAATTTGAGGGTCAAATTAACTCGTGAGCATCATAAACATAATACAAATTTTGCATGCACATACGCACATTGAGTTTTCCTGTATTTAGACGCTTACTTGTTTTTCAAGGCTTCAAAAAAATCACTAATGTGGTATTATTCATGTATTCTGTGTTGTAGAATAAAACATGAAATCTTGAGCTTGTTTTAACCACAGACCTTGTTTCAGGCATTTAACCAAAAACCCTTTCAAAAACAAAAAAAGATTGACTTCGGGACAATGGAATTGAAAGTACAAAAATGCTAACTGTTTCCAGGTTTAAGGACATGTTTCTAGCTGCAGCACTCTATATACTCCAAAATGATGATTTGTTTAACAAATTCAGTGCCCTGGACCCCAACTGTTACAGGATATTGGTAGGGAAGGTTAGGGACTGATGCGAATAATTCCACATTATCAGCAGATTATCTGAATGATAAATCTGGCCAAACGCACCAGTCTACTCCTCTTAGGTCTTATATCCTGAGTCCTATAGATATGGTGGTCGTACATCAGTGTAAATGCAGCAGCTCTGTCATACTCTACCGTTCAATACCTTTATCAGCGTTCCATCTGTGACAGGCACCCGAGCATGCAAATAATGAGAACCATTAATTGGTTTGGTGTGTGTGTGTGTGTGTGTGTGTGTGTGTGTGAGAGAGAGAGAAAGAGAGGTCTGGGAAAGCCCGGGTCCCTCACCTAAGCTGTCAGACGTTACCCAGCCTTCTCACAGCAAAGAACTCAATCAAGATGAAGCGCACCAGCTGACAGCATTCAAATGGGTTATTGCATCAGAGTCTCTCCGCGGCCTTGTGGAGGAGTTTGAGAGAGAAATACAGGAATGTCTGGAGGAAACGGCAAGCGCTCATTTTCATTGTCTGTTTCTTCCTCTCAGTCCTGTGCTTTCTCATGGTTCCTCGAGCTTCTGTGAGAATGCGGCAGGAGTATCTCTCTCGCTTTCCATCATTCACCCCCACCTGTCTTTTTTATCACTGTAATAATGCTGTTTTTCGACAGCAGTGCCATTAAATGCCATTTTCTCCCAGACACACACAGAGCTGCGGTGTTTTAGCTGTGTTGTGCTGTGAAAGCCTGTCCTACAAAAATGTAGGGGAGCGTATATACAGTATGTTGCTGTAAATTTGCTAATATTTAGACTCAAAATGCAAGCCCTTTAAAATGTTTTTGTGTTGTTTTTGGGACACCCAGAGAGAAGAACTAGTAATTATCTGTAATGTTGCGTATAAGATCGTAATATTATTTAAACATCTAATATTGTGAAATATTATTACAATTTAAAATAACCGTTTTCTGTTTTCTATTATACTGTATTTATTCATGTGATGTTAAAGCCGAATTATCATTACTCCAGTCTTCAGTGTCACATGATCCTTAAGAAATCATTCTAATATGCGGATTTGCTGCTAAAGAAACATTTATTATTATTATCAGTTGAAAACAGTTTGCTTTGAATAGAAATCTCTCTTTTGTGACATTATAAATGTCTTTAATGTCACTTCTGATTCATTTAATGTGCCCTTGCTGAATAAAAGTATTCATTTCTAATACTTTTCTTTAAAAAAAAAATCCCAAACTTTTGAACAGTATTGTCTGTGCTTCTTAGATAACGCTGCTATTGGGAAAAATGCTATAGAGATGAAGCACTACTACTAGGTATAACTTTCTCTCTTTGAACTACGGTAACATTAGCATTCAAAGTAGGACGTTTAAGGCTCCTGTATATAGTATTCACCAGAGAAGACATTTTAACCCTTGCATTGTCAAAGAATCCACTGTCATTTGCCACAGCTGTGGCTTCTGCCCATGTGACCATATAAAACAGGAAACGGCACACACATACTCACCATGCCTACTCGACCGTGAAAGTCCAGACACTTCCCCCCGTCTCAAGAGAAATGCTATTTAAAGACATTTACATAATCACTTCCTGTTTGATTCAGGAATCCAGAGTGAGAGCGTGTTCAACCCCCAGTCGAATCCTAGAGCTCACGCTGTATCATCTACAATTAAATTCTCAGCAGCCTTTGAGTGGTGACTGTAATTTGCAAAGGCAGAGAAGATGTAGAAGTGATCGTATCACAGGGGCCACTCAATAGTGAACTGCACAGGGGCCAAAGAGCAGGATCCCTTTAGCCTCAAATGCCACATTCGTAATGTTTTATTTAATTAATTTTATATTAATGAAACAAATGAGCTGTGTGGTATGTGGTATGACATATATAAAAAATTTCATATCAAGTCAAGTTAATTTTATATTAAAGTCAAGTTAAATTTATATGACAATACACATTGCTTCAAATCACCTTTACAGAAAATCATGATGTTAATGTTTATAAAATCTTAATATCTTCATACCTTAATGTATTAAAGGGTGCAAAAAAAATCTAAATATTGAGAAAATCACATTTAAAGTTGTCCAAATGAAGTTCTTAGAAATGCATATTACTAGTCAAAAATTAAGTTTTGATATATTTACGATTGGAATTTTACAAAATATCTTCATGGAGCATGATCTTTATTGAACATCCTAATGATTTTTGGCATAAAAGAAAAATCTATAATTTTGACCCATACAATGTAGTTACATTTTGTGACAAAAATAAAAATGATACAATTGAGATTCACTATATAGGATATATCACAGTAACAGCACATATCATGGCATACACAGTATATAAATTTTTTGTTTGCACTTCATTTTAAGGTGTCCTTGTTACAGTGTATTTATACATTTAAGTACTGAGTAATATTAATTAACTACATGTACTTACTATATGGTTAGGGTTTGGCTTATGGTTACTGTGTGTGTGTGTGCAGTCTGTCCACCGTGGCCACCCTTCCTCTTTATTTTCCATCCCTGCTCCTGCTTCTCCATTCCCCAGTCCATTGTCAGGCTCTACGTGACTGTGTGCCTGAAGCGCAGCCAGGCTTACAGAGCAAGAGCGGGAAGACATCAAATGGCTCTTTGCAGGTTGTGCTGAAATCAAAGTTTGGTTTCTCCAGCTGAACTTTGGATGAGATAATATGTTCAAACGGCATTGCTGAGATCCATAATACAGGCAGCAGCAGGAGTCTGAGCACAAACTCAAGTCTAGACACTCAGCCGTACACATCAAGCCAAATCACTGCCTTTCATTTCCACTGATCTATCTTTTATTCCTCAAATGGATCCTCTTTCTTCTTGTTTTCTCTCTTCTGCTTTGGTTGCATTGTTAATCATAGTATATATCATTAATCCAGACTGATTGTTCTTTATTTGAGCAAGTCCCTCCCTCCTTTGGTCTCAATGCATTTTGAAGATTTTTAATTATGTTTTTGCACTGTTTGTCTTTTGATATGGTATCATCCAGCTGTAGCACAATAAATATGTTTATTGATTATAAAGTGGCCCCAAAAAAATATTTGGACACTTCAGATACAGTTTCATCATTTATTTTAAATGAGATGAACAGCAAAGCACATTTTGTTAGATTCTACAACATAAATATATACAGTTTTCAAAATGAAGACAAGAGTATTGCAACACTTTCCCATTTGTCAAACTTTTGTGCAACATGTTCACAGTTAATGTGATGAACTGCACCTGGTTACTCAGATTTAACAACCTGTGTAAACTTGAGGAGAACTGACTTCAGCCACAAAAAAATCAGTGTAAATATATTAATTCAGTGCCATTCTTCCATTTGTATTGTTGAAATATCCAGATAAACCTTTAAAAGGTTAAGACATTTGATGTGGCCACATTTACTGTTTTTTGGCAAATTTTGTGGGACAAATCTGGTCTTTTCAGTAGGAATCCATGCAAATGGGAATTTTGTGTGAGGGCGAAATATTTCCCCAAACAGATTTCGCAATGGTTAAAGTTGTAACCAACAAAAAGCTGCTTGGTTTGAAAATGATTACTTTATGAGCTGTGCTTCATACTACTGACAATATACTACTTTTTTGCCTGTAAATTTTACCAAAATTTTGCAAATCTGACCTCAGCTCACTCTAGAGATCCAAGATGTCTTATAAACTTAAAAAGTAAAGGTGTATGAAACCAATTTTAGCTGAAGTAATGTGATGTAAGTTTGAGCCTCATGTCATTCCCTAGACCTCCTAAAATCCTTCTTCCATTCTTCCATCTGTTCTTCTCTACTGTATTATCCAGTAAAGACTCATAACAACTAAAACATTTTCATATGACCTTTGAGAAATGCAGGATATTTTAAGCAAAATATAACATTTTGGTAATTGCTTTCTTCATTATGAGAAATAACATTTCTGGGTGACTAGCTTTAATGTCATGTTTACTCTGCCCTGTGAAGGTAGAATTTTGAATGACAGCAGTACTAAATAAGCCTGTCTGTCTGTTTGTGTGTGTGTAGAGTCACACTGTGTTCCTATAGGAGGTCTCTCCTGTTTAATCAGCACTGCCATGGCTGGTGACTGTACATAAAGCCAATATGAGAAATATCACATGACAAGCAGCCCCAAGGGCAGCCATGTTTACTTGTTGTTAAAAGATCTCAGAATAATATTTACTCATCCTGGACAGCGTAGAAATCGCTCAAGCTGTCAGCGGTCGGCCCTCCCCTGCAGAAAACACACCATAACAGCCCAGCACAAGAACATGAGCCAAGCCAACCATGTGACCCCACTACACATTTTAAAGGAAGACGTACACTAAATTTGTGTCTCTGTCTGTGTGTGTGTGTTTGTGTGTG